TTTAATTCAAGAACCCGCATATCATGGGAACACCTAGCAAGTAGCATGAATCTAGTATTAAGTGAATAGCGAGTAAACCTATTTCGATTACAAGTACATACATGTAGAATCATTTCGACATCCAATTTCCCGATTAAATCTTGGGTATGATTTACAAGTACATACATGTAGAATCCTTTAGGGAGAATTTTTCTAGAAATAAAAAAATACACTTGTTCAATAAAAATGAAACAAGTGTCACATTCTCACAAAAAAGACCCAAGATAACATTGTGACTTGGTGATCTTTTTCTTCTTTTTTTTTCTGTTTTTCTTTTCTTTTCTTTTGTCGTGTAGCAGTGACCCGATATTTGGGTCGGATGGGTCACTGATAAAGTCAGTCTTATAATTTTCACCTTTCTAATGGTCTTTTCCGCAATCGAATGAGAATAAGAAAGTGAAAGAGCAATCGAGCACCTGCATGTAGCTTCACGATATAGATTCCAAAAAAACTTATCCCAATAGAAAAATAGTGAGATTAAAAAGTGAAATAAAAAAAATAGATAAAAAGTGTGAAAGTTTTAATTTTATAAATGAAATTACATAATACATAATTACATGACTGAATAAATAGCGAGTTTTATTGGAAATACATAAATATATCAATAAACAAAAATGAGAAAATGAATAGTAATTTTTGCGAAAGTATTATATTTCTTATATTTAAATTAGAAAAATTTTAGAGGCGAAAAATATTTTATTTTAATCAAAAACAAAGATCTTCATTTGACATTTCCCAAAAATATTGTCCAACAATGAAACCTTTTGAAATAAATTATTATCAAAAACTTAATAACAATTTTGTTATATATGCATGGAGCATATAATAATTAATCTTTAATTATTATGTTCAGAGGATATGCTACGATCCCGTTACGAAACCATTTTGTCGTGATTTGTAATCAGAGAATGAAACTTAAATTGGTACCCAATTTTGGGATATGCTGTACAAAAATTCAAGAGTCTATATATGTATGTTAGTTGAAAACCACAAAGCACACCAATTTGTTTTCTCTCTCCCCAATACTTCACACTAAAGACAACACTTATAAGAGGCTATTTGACAGTAAATAACCCTTTTTTATTTTTCTATTTTTCTTTCTTTCCTTCTTAACTGTCATTATTTTTGTTTTTATTTCCAAACATATATATATATATATATATATATATATATATATA